GAGAGACTTGAACCAGCAAATCTGAACTTGATGAATGACTGAGACAGTAACCCGCCTCTCAGATTGACTGTTGATCGCCTAATTTATTATTTGATTAATTGTTTTAACACAAAGAATTAACCAGTTTTTTCAACAGTTTCTCGGCTGCATTCAAACACCAGTCGATCTTTCTGTACTTTTATTTGAAATATAAAAATTGCAAAAACATAAGAGGTGATAATCATGTCCCCCCCTTTCCTCCAGCACTATCCTCTGTACAGAGTGAGCGACGCCGGCTGCACAGGCCTGGACGCCGCACCGCCTGAAGAGCGACACCTGCTGTTCAGAGAGAAGTATGACGTGTTGTCGAAGGAGGCCTCACAGAGGGTGAGCACTCTGCAGTCTGATCACACCGCCTCTGCTGGCTGTTCCTCTCTCTCTCTCTCCAGAACACACATCTCTTCTGAAGCGGCTTCATCCAATTAAAATACAGTACAAACCCGCAGATGACGGCAGATGATGATGATGATGATGATGATGATTGATGATGAAACTGATGATGTAAGCAAGCAGCAACCGGTCTCTGAGGGTTTGATGTGGGTTTTCTCTCCCCAGCTGCTGCAGTGGTTTAAGCCCCGCCTCATCCTGAGCGGACACACCCACAGCGGATGTGAGGTTCTCCATGACAACAAGTACCCAGAAATCAGCGTGCCGTCCTTCAGCTGGAGGAACAGAAACAACCCGAGCTTCATCCTGGTGAGTGAGAAACAACATCCTGCCGGAGAGAGGATGGCGAGTGATTGATGGAGCAGCTGTAATCACTATTTATTATAAAATGTATTAATAAGGAGGACAAATTATTATCACCTGAATCTCCCTTTAAAGCCAGTTTCAGCTCAACACAGTTTTACTAGAGGTGGAAAGTAACTAAGTACATTTAGTACAAGTACTATTCCAATTTTGAGACACTTGTACTCGAGTAATTCCATTTTATTCTACTTTACTACTCCACAAAGACAAATATTGTACTTTTTACTCCCCTACATTAATTTTAAAGCTTCAGTTACTTTGCAGATTCAGATTATAAATACAAAATATATCAACAAATAAATGATGAGACATTGTTATAGATTAAACTACCCAGCAGTACTTCAGTAGCTAAACATCAAAGTTCCAGTATGTAACATTTATTGGCAGAAATTTAATATAATATTCATGGTTATGGTTTTATTTGTGTATAATCACCTTAAAGTAAGAATTGTTGTATTTTGTGAATTGTTTGTGGCCTCCGTAGTTTCTCCTACACCTGTTTCTCAAACTTTTTACACTGCGTACCACCTCAGAAAACCCCAGCAGGTTTATTCCAATAAGAAGATTATTTATTGTTGAACAGATTCGGTTCAAGAACCGGAGCTAATTCGGTGGAAAAGTGGCACTCGTGGTCCTCACTTCTCTTCCCAATAGTTCCTGTTTGGAGCCACGATTTCAGTGTTTTTGCACCATTAATTTTACCTCTGCTTTCTATCTTACCATCACATTTTAACTTGTAACTAATAATGGATATATATATATATATATATATATATATATATATATATATATATCGTGTGCTACATGCATTAATGTGACTACATAGCAGGCTGATATTGAACCAGAATATTACAGGAAATGAATGCTGTTGAATTAATTCATTTCATACAGGCTTGGAAGGCGAGCGTTATTATATTAATATAATCTGCAGCTTCACCGCTGGATGCCACCAAAGCCTACACGCTGGTCTTTTAACTCTTAACTCTCAGTAGCTGTTCTGGAGCTTTCGACTGTATCACATGATCATCAGCAGCAGATTAGATCGTCATGGATTTGGAGGGTTGTTCAAACTCCTTGTCCATATTGTAGTATGAATATCTACATGAAATATAACTGAAAGTTGTAGATCAGCTACTAAATGGACCTTGTTTGTTTCAAATAGCTCTTTTAAAGGATTGTGTCTAAAATATGCAGCGAGGAACCAAATAAGAGTTCACATTTTCTATTTTTGGAGGCCCCTGGTGGCTGAGGGGCCGAGCTGCCACCTTCTCCAATATTAACACTGATTATCACCTCTTCATTCTCCTATCCCCCCCCAGGCGTCGGTGTCACCCAGCAGTTACGCTCTGTCCAAGTGTTTCCTGCCGGAGGAGAGCACGGTGATCGGCGTCTACTGCTCGGCCGGCGCCTGCCTGCTGCTGCTGTTCCTGGCTCACTGTATGTGGATGAAAGGCCTGCTGCAGTGCCTCAGCCTCTTCCTGCTGGGGAAGCACAAGTCTCTGTGAACTACATTACCCAGAGTGCACCGCGTCCCAGGACAGAGCCATGAAGCAGAGCTGGTTAAAAAAAAAAAAAACACTCAAGACGTCCTCCCTCCTCTCTTCTGGAAAAACATCTGTTCATACAACCTCGATTTGTTTGTGAAGGACGTGAATATATATTTTAAATGTCTTTAAAGGACTTTATCACAACTGATGATGATGATGATGATGATGATGATGATGATGTGGTTTTTAGCCTGCGATGACAAAGCAGATCTTGGGGCCAAATTGTAGTTACAAATCATCGCTGATGAGTGCCGGGCGGGTGGAGCTTGTTGCATCAGGAAGGTTTTTGACTTCACAACCGTGTCCTGTTCCCGGCTGAATTATTAGAAAGTGCACACACACACACACACACACACACACACACACGTGGCATCAAGTGAGACGAGTCAAACACGTGCATATGTAAATACCAACCGGTCTGGTTTAAGGTGGTACAGTCAGGTGGTGGTTTATGTGATCTGATGTAAAAACACACTGATCGTCTCACTCTCTGAACACTGTTTGTTTCCCGCCGTTGATGTCTGATAATCCATCCGGGGTTCCTCGTTGTTTTTAAAAATGATGCATATCTGAATATATTTATTGCTGACTTTCTGTGCCAAATGTTTGTGAGGGTTTTTGCCAAAATTGTTCAAAATGTTTCTGACGAACTGTACATAATAAATCAGAATCTTAAGGTCTGTTTTTTTAGAGGTTATGGTTTAAAGCTGGAGGTCGACGTCGCTCTGAGGATGAAACACTAGAAGAGAAGGACCCAACGTCGTGGTGATCAAAAGAAATGAATGTGATGGATGCAAAATCTTGTCATCAAATAAAAAAAGTAGCATAAAAGAAGTAAAACAAATGTTTGTTAAATGTTAAAATAAATGTTTCTTCTGTTCATTTTAGGGTTGGATAATGTGAAAGTAATAGTAATGTAATATCTAGGTCATATTTAGCAACGCTGCAGATCAATTGATTTGTCAGATATTTAAATAACTAAATTATTTAAGAATATGGCTGCAACCAATAACTATTATTTTCAATATCAGATAATCTGTTGAATATATTTTCAATAATAATTTGACGTCTTCAGATGTCTTAAAATGATATAAAAAAAATAACCTTTGAGAAGCTTTAACTATTTAACTATTGTTCAAATTGACACCAAATAATTTCCTGAATTTATTAATTAAATAATTTTTAGTTCAAGACAGAAAATCCTGCACTATACCACGATGACACATACATAAAATTACATTTATCGTTCTCCATACTGCTCATTGTTTAATGATTAGATTAGATCTAACCCTTTAATCTGGAACATCAGTAAAAGATAAATTTAACTCCATGAGGTGCAACGTTATGTCCACTGTATTAGGATAAAAGTAATAAAACTTAAAATATAATCCCTGATCTGTTTTTAATCACACCCACACTTTTTAAAGTTATTTTCTTCATTAGACCTCTTTGACCGACATTCCCCCGACTCTCCTGTTACATTTATTGCTGCGAAATTACACTTTCATCGTACTATTCAATATAAAAGGAGTCCCGGGACCTCAGCAATCCTCAGCACCTTCAACCCGAGCGGAGGTCCTGAACACCTTTAAAATAATCAGAACTGAACTGAACACATCAGGATATCTCAAATATAAAGATATCTCCCATCGAAACACTTTGATATGTCAGAGCAGGAAACAGGTTTAAACAATAAAATTAACAATGGCTGAATTCCATTTAGCTGCTTCAGACATCTTTAACTTTATTAGTAACACCTGTGCTGCTGTGAGAAAGGCCAATATTTATACCAAAACTATTAGAGATTTACCAGCTGCAGACAAAAATATAATATAAATATAAAAAGTCTTTTTAAATACTGTGGCGAGCAGCAGAGTGAGAGAAGCTGTCAGCAGTGTCAACTAGAATTAGTTTACAATGTATATGTTAATCCATTTAACATGTTAAAGAATATTTAACTGAAATATTACTTAATAAAGTTATTTGTTTAAGAAAGCAGCCTTCTGATTATAACATTGCATCGTCGTATCGGTGCTCGACTCACATAGAAAAGGTCTATTTTCAGTTCATTTATTCTGATAATATCCAAAGACTGCAGGTAATACAAAATGCTTTAAATCTGTACTAAGAGGAGCGACCACATTACACCAATCCTCGCTACCTTTCACTGGTTGCCTGCAAGTTTTAGAATTGATTTTAAGATTTTACTGCTTGTTTTTTAAGGCCTCGTCTGCTCTTGCTGCTGCCTACATCTGTTATTTACTACATTTTTTCTACATCTATTAACTTATTTGATCTTCCTTGTATTTTAAGTTCTGGATCTCATTGCTTTATTTATGTTTTGTTGTTGTTGAAAGGTGCTATTTAAATAACATCATCATCTTCATTACTCACTATATCTGTGAATGTTTCCCCTTTAAAATCAGTATCTGGCTCAAAAACCCTGTATCATTCGGGCTGCGGAAACACAGTGAAGATCCTGAATGTACCCAACACTACTCACCCACAATGTATCTATGTACAGTACATATTAACTCCACTGCAGCTTCCACCAAAAAAAAAAAAAAAAGAACCAACAACCCAAAAACAACAAAATAAACAACAACCCCCTCAGTGATAAGAAATCTGGACACAACTAGACACCAAGATGGAAATAAAGCAAAGTCCTCTAATGTGCCTCTTTATTTAAAGAAAATAAAAATGTCATTTAATCATCCTCCCAGGCCAAACAAGGTTTTTGCACCTCCAGTCAGTTCACTCTCTTTTGGGGATAGACGTGTACTGTAGCAGAAGAAAAGGCTGATGCTGTTTGTACAAGGAGAAGAGCTTGTCTTGTTGGGTGCTGCTCACACATTCATAGTGCCTGTGCCATTGGGTATGGCTCCAAAGGACCAAAGAATCACTAATATTGCACGCTCTCATTTATTCATCTCCATTCTAAACATGCTTTCCTATGTGTGTATGTATACATATTTACCGTATACATACATAGGTATGTACACCTAGGCACACACATAATTAAACATGTATAATTGTACATATATATTTATATAGACCTATAAATTTACATGTACATACATTTATAAAATTTTACACACAACGCACACTCGCCCTCACACACACGCACGCACGCACACACACACGCACGCACGCACGCACACCCACACACACACACACACACAATGCGTCTGTGAGTCTATGTTTGTTTTATGTACACATGCGCACAGGCACGCACATCAGTACAGATCTCAGACACACTTCATATCGAAAAAACGTTGGTTCCTATTAAAACAACACCAGGTTGCAATTTGGACACTTTCAATGGATTTCCAATGTTTGTTTAAAGCTGTGAAATTCAAAAAAAGAAATTAAAATTAAAAGAAAAAGGAGGAAAAATAAAAACCAACAAAAGAAAAAAAGAAGAGAAAAAAAAAAGGCATGGCGCTGCAACATCTGGTCTTCACTGCAGGTAAGTGGTTAATTTGCATAATGTATACAGGTTTTTAGGATTTTTTCCCTATTTTTTATTTTTTACTAAACAGCATTTCCTTTTTTTTTATAAACCAGAAAAAACTAAACTCTACAGAGAAAGTCCCCTACCCGCAGTCTTCCGCTGCTGATAGAGATTGACATCAAGCTGTACAGCGCAGTCGAAAACATACTTACATCTGAGCTCATTTACAGGTACAGCCATAATCAAGGCACAAAGATCTACAAGTAGATTTGTTTTTCTTTCAATTAAGTTGTACAAAATAATATTACATTTTACAGTCTGTACAGGATAATTCAACCTTGCACAGTGTACAAGTTAACAAAAAAAACAAAAACAAAACAAAAAAAAAAAACAAAAAAAAAAAAAAGAGAACAATACATTTTTCTCTCCCGTCCCCTCCCCCGCCCTCCCCTCCCCTCCCATCAGTATCTCTAAGCTAAAAGGATGGTTTGTGTGGAAAAAGGAGGCAGGTCCGAGTCCGTGGAGGCAGCAGGGCTAAGGTGCAGAGAGCTCAGTCCCTTTTCCTTCATTTAAATCCTTCTTCATGTCGTCGTGTTTCCTGCGCCCCCCCTCTCCCCCAATCTCCCCCAAAATCTCCCCCCTTTTCCTCCCTTCCCACTTTAATCTTTCGCTCCACATGTCTCTCGGCTGCTCGGTGCACCCTGCAGCTCGGCAAGCTAACATCGTGACAGGGTAATAAATATTGTGATGCTACATTGTGTGTATGCTTCCTCTGGAGAAAAAAAACAACAACAACAACAACAACGAAAAAAAAAAAAAGTTATTAAGGAACCTGATGCAAAGTGCATTTATCTCTTCATCCACTCGGTTTCCCCTCTCCCCCGTCGCTCTCCGGTGTCGTCGCCGTCCAGTCGTCTTCCACGCGGAGAGGAGAAGCAGGTCAGAGGGGGTGACGGGGCAAAAAAAAAGAAAATTTAAATTTAAAAAAAAAAAAAAAAAAAAAAGGTCAAAGGGCAAAGGTCATGGTGGTGATGCCGGCTTTAACCGGCAGGTGACACACAAACATAAACACACACGCATGCGCTCGCTCACATGGCATTCCTCCTTCTCTTCGTTGCACGCACACGTTAACACACACACACTGCCTCTACACTGAGGTCCTGTAGGTGTGTTTCATGTATCCACACCCATCAGTCCAGGTCCAACGACAAAGCCAAGAAACAGAAGAAGGACACAAAGGGGCAAAAACAAAAACAACAAAAAAAAAAAACAGGAGGTAGCCCAAGGCTTAGTGGAATGACAAAAATCAAGGCATTCAAAAGGAAGGATTAAAAAGAAAAAAGATGAAAAATAAAAATAAGCGGCACGCAACAACTTTGTTCCCCAACCTTCCTTTCACGTCGGTGAAATGGGGATGAATCGGTCTCAGAGAGAGAAAAAAAAAAATAAAGAAGTACAAAAAGCTAAGAAGTTAAGAAGAGGAAGAGGATTTGACACACTTCAGTAGTACTTCATAGTCCTCGACAGGAGGGGTGGTCAGGGGGGTTTGTTGAGGGGTTTCTTTGGGAGGGGGGGGAGGAGGAGGAGGAGGAGGAAGGGGGTGAGGGGTAAGGGAGGAGGACTGGAGGAGGAGGGAGGAGGAAGAGGAGGAGGAGGAGGAGGAGGAAGGGTTCGTCAAGGATGCAGAATGGTGGAGAAAAACACAGAAGGCTGACGGAGGCGGTCTCCCATCACAAGAGTTCGTACTGCCGCAGGTGCATTCTCTGGATGATGTCCCGGCAGTCGTTGAACACCCGCCGGATGTTCTCTGTGTCCACGGCGCAGGTGAAGTGGGGGTAGCAGTAGTGTCTGCCGTCGCCACTCGCAGTGCTGATCCGCTGAGGGGGGGGAGAGAGAGAGACAGGAGACACAGTGAGACAGGTTCGAGCTCTCTGTCATTCACAGTTAAAATATCTCTTCCTTTCAAGGATTAAATTCTCCCGGTGACTTCAGCTTCGAGTCGTCGTTTACCAGCTGTGGGTTTTTTTTTATACCAAGTGACACAAAACATGAAGAACTATCTGTATGATCGGTCTCGACTGTGGCTTCAGTATCCGATTACAGACGCTTTAAACTTGCTGCAGGATGTTTTACTTCTCTCGTTTAGATCAGCTGAAACACACGTTGAAGTTTTCCTGTCAGTGTCTTTTCCCAGATTAAACCGCAGATAAATAAACATAGAATGACGTTAATTCTAGATTTCGGATGTTATTACTTCATATTTGTTGATTAAAGATGGTAATATATTTAGTTGTACTACAATTCCTCTTAAAAGTGCATAATCTAACCATACAGCATCATCTATAATACCGTTTATATAAAGGTGGACCATCCATACTGCATCGCTGCACTGATAAAGGCCTGTCTGTTTCAGCTCAAATTATACTTTTCAATAATAAAAAAACTCACACGAGGATCTCACAGGTATTTTTCACAGGAAACAGGAGCAATTAAATTCCTGATATTCAACCCTGAGAGTCTGAGGTCACTGATTTTAGTGCGGGCTAGAGGCTAACATGTTTCAGGCATTGGCTTAACAACTCCTCCTCCTCTGTCAAACAACTGCATTAGGCCTGTTGTAGACTAAAATAAACCAATGCTGGTTATTATTAAGCTAAATGCCATAATTATTCTATTATGAAAGAAAAACCATAAAGACATTGGACTCATGACGGGTTTATAAAGTAGTAAGATCAGGCTTTTTTCCATTAAATGCCAAATGTTACTACAGTATTTTAACTACTACTAGTAACTAATAATGTTATTTAAAACATCAGACAGCTATAAAGCTCCATAACAACTCGATCTGCTGAGGATAATGTGAGATATAGAAATGTTCCGGTCCCAGATTTTCCGTCCCAATACCGATTCCAATAGCTACACGTGGATAAGATTTATATTTTTTAAGTTGTATGGCCTGGCTCAGGTTTAAAGCCCTCAGAGTCAGAGTGGGGCAGGTCATGACAACGTTATCCTGGGAAGTAACAGTGTCCTGTTTCGGGGGAGAATTAATTACATGGCATCATATTTATTAATATTCATCAATACGTTTGGGCTGTATCGGAGAAACTCTAGTGACAAAAGGTCCAGAAAAAACTATTAAGTGGACCTTGAGTTAAGATTATTTTGTAACTGTAGAAAATGTCTATTTGAATCATAAACAGGATGGACAGTAACATGACTGGTTCCTAAAAGTGTTTCATGAAGATCAACGCAACATAAAATACACAGAGTTTGTATTTAGCAGCACAGAGAACAAAATACTGAGTTATGAATTAACAGAAAAAGGCTGGACATTCATTAACTCCAGCAACACCTCAAACAGCGCAGACATACGGTGAAATACTTACAAGAAACTCGTCTCGGATGAAGAACTTAGCTCTCGTCACTCTGGGGTCTTCACCAGGTTCAGGAGTTGCTGGAAGAACAACGGATTCACAGTTAAAACTCCGACTGACGTAAAAAAAAAAAAAAAAAAAAAAGAGGAAACCCTTGTAGAAGTTCGGGTATTTTAGTGGGACACAAACCTTCATTTGGTATGGTGTAGCGAGCATATTCGGGGAAGTAGTCTTCAATTTTGGATTTTCCAGCTAATACTTTCTCAGCCAGCATGTCCTGCTTGTTCAGGAATAATATGACCGATATAGTGCGTAACCATCTGCAACACAAACCCACAAACAACAAACACCATTACGTTTTGTTCATGAGAATTAGAATATTTGGACATTAAAGACAGTAAAACAAATAGACCCCCTTTACTCAATTCTCAGTTTAAGTTTCTATGACACAAGGGGGGTGTTTAAAGTCTTTTGGGGGTTTTTATGGCTTCGATTTGGACAGTAAATTAAGAGGAAGAGAGGAGCGGCTGTGGCTCAGAGGTAGAGCGGGTCGTCCACTAATTGGAAGGTTTGATCCCCGGCTCCTCTCGCTGCATGTCGAAGTGTCCATGAGATACTGAACCCCAAATTGCTCCTGATGCCGCTCATCGGTGTATGAATGATTAGCTTCTGTTCTGGTGAGCAGTTGGGACCTTGCATGGCAGCCACTGCCATCAGTGTATGAATGTGTGCGAATGGGGTGAGTGCGGCATGTAGTGTACAGCGCACTGAGTGGTCGAAAGACGTTACATAAGTACAGCCCATTTACCATTTACCAAATGGCACGGGGGTGTCCTGAAGTCGGATTATTCTGCATTCACATGGACAGCACGGGAAAAACAAACCAACCCTCACACATGGCTGGACGGCAAAACGCAGGACGATATGTCGCTGTGTTGATGTGTTGTTTACAAAGAATGGAATAAAATATGTTAAAATATATTTAAATTTGGTGTGTCGTTATTTAATTATTAGCTTCTTGTTGTCCAGTTCACTCATGTTTTTTCCTCGGTGAGAGAGAGTGAGCGACTTGCTGGCATGCTTTGTGCGTCAACAGCTGACGTGATCTCCAAAAGGACGACTTCCTACACTTTTGGTTGGACTTTTCAGAAAGCTGCCGTGAGGAGGCTTGTGCTTCTTGCCCCTATCAACTCCTTTTTACCAGAGTCTCAAATCTCTGCAACTGTGAGCAAAGATGATGAGAAATGGACAGTAATTAAAAAAGGACAAAAGACATAAACACCTAGGTTCATAAGCCACCAGAACCTGAACTTCCATTTTTGATTTAATCACTAGGACAACAGTAAGCAAGACATGAAAAGAGGAAGACAGCGGAGAAAGCCGGCACGTGGCTGCAGATGAAAGGAATTAATCACACGGCTCAAACTTCATTCATGTTTGCGACTCACCTGTTGTTCCAAATACTGCGGAAGAGGTCCAGGGCTTCCCGTAGCCTGTTGGTGTTATTGTCTTCCCTTATTACCATGTTGTAGCTGCTGCTGGCCACCACAAAGATGATAGCAGTGACGTCTAGAAGCAGAGGAGAGAAAACCACATCAGCTCTCTCCGACATTGCATGTGAGTAGGAATTACTTACTTACTTACTTATTAACTTAAAAGAATAAAAGGAGGTGCTGAAGCCGGCATGAAATACTTTAAGACGAACCAGATGTGATAGTGGGAGAATGTGTTGTCGGTCGAGGACGTACAGTGTGGCTATTTGAAGAAGAACAAGAACAAAACAAAAAAAAAAAAAAAGGCTGGAAGTCTCACCGTTAAAGCACTGGATCCATTTTCTCCTTTCATCTCTCTGGCCCCCAACATCAAACATGCTATGGAGGAGACAAAATAGTGGGTCAGACTCAGACACAACAACACACGCAGCGCTGCCCTCTTTAATCAAAGAGTTCATATCTCTAGTGGGACGTACATATTGTACTGTACTTGGCTGAGAACATTTACACACCAGTTGTTGTTTGTTTTTTTTACACATACATTTTTATTTTGATCATCATTAAAGATTTTCTGTCTTGAGCTCAATCTGCTCCTGATCTCAGATCTGGTTCACAAAAAGAGATCCTACATCTTAATGGGACACCTCAAGTGTACATGAACAATCAATTCATGAATAAATAATACTAAGAACAGCATATTTGCACGTACTCTGTGTAACCATAACCTGTGTGACTCTAGCTGGATGTTTGGAAGTCATCAAAGCGGAATAATGAAAAATGCACACCCAAAGGGAAGTCATGTCCCAGAGCTTTTTATATCAATCATTAAGGATGATATAATTTGATACAAAGGCTCGTTTCAGATGGTAGAATAAGTCTGTTGTGTCTGCGACTGCGGAACTGGGTCATCTCATGTGACATCATCAAAGCAGTTACGAAACATTTACTCCAACTTTTATTGGCTGCTCTTATAACTGCAACCGATGGTCAATAACTTTCAGCTGGATCCAAAAAAAAAAAAAAAATCACACCAGTCAACCGCAGAGGATTCATTTTATTTTTTACATTTCAGGCGTTCAGACGACGCTCTTTTTCAACCTCAGCTTCCGGCCGCCGACCAGGTCGGGGTTCAGGGTTTTGTTCGAGGACGCGTTTGTTGTTAGGGGTTACAAACTTATGACATTTCAGGCTCTTAACACGAGGCCAAGATAAATATAGCAATACCCAAGAGGGTAAATGGTTTTTAAAAAGCGTGCCACCTCAATAATTTTTGGTGGAAAACTATCTGCAGAAACTGGAAAAACGCCTGGAGAGCCTCCTTTTCAGGAATGGGTGACAGAGTTAGGAAACGCCGGTGGACAGAGGATATTTCCTTAAGTGGGGCACGTACTGTATATGTCTCTTTTATAGAGATACAAGTGAAAAATATATACATGTTCTCAGAGCATTTCTATGATTACAAATTTATGTAGGCGGCCTTTTTCTCAAATTAGTAAATACACACAATAAATTATCAATCAACATATATATACCAACAGAGTGAGTGAGTGAGTGAGTGAGAATATGTCTTCATCAAGTGTGTTTATGTCCGAGCGAAAGCTTGAGCACGACTTACTGAAAGTTCACTTTGTCTACTTGGAACCTCGTCTCGAAAATCCCTGAAGTTAACACTCGGCAGCGTAGCAGGTCCTGTGAAACATAGAAATGAACAAGTATCCAGTTCAGTAAAATTCCTGATGAGCAATCTTTTGGAAGTGATTTACAAACAATAAAAGTGTGCACATTAAAGGGAGGACTGACCTGGTCCGTTGGTGTGTAGTCGTTCTGTCTTACGGAGTCAATTCTGTCCAGGAAACTGCAAGGAGAGAAACAGAACAGGCTCAGACTTTGCACTAAAGTCTATCCATTTCTATAGGTGGTGGGAACATAAAGGTATATTAACAATATATAAAACAATTTATTGTCCCTATGTATGAAAACCACAAAATTACTGAGATTAGTCTCCATAAATACTGATATACTGAATCCACAAAGACTCAAAACCAATTAATAAACAGGGACCCACATCTTATCTCACAGAAGAAAGGCCACATTCATGCTACACCAATGCAAACACAATTTTATCTATTTATTTGAACCTCAATCTATTAATTGCAATCTTTAAATCTGATCATACGTCACAACTGTTACATCACTCATTAAACATATCTCTTGTGACAGTGCGTCAGCTCGAATTCAGACGTTCGTGTGAGCTACACAGGATGCTGCAAAAGGCGGCCGCCATGTCTGACTCCCTGTAGAGGCTCAGTAGGCCGGTGTTAAGGCAGCTGGTTGCCACAAGAGGGCAGGGCTGCTCAGTCTGGGCTATTTTTGTCTGTCTCTAGCCAGAGTGATTACATAAGGCGGTTATTGTGGAGGTTAGACAGCTTGCTGTTTCCGTCTCTTCACTACTGAGAGAGCATGTGCAGCGGTAGCAGCAGTAGCAGCAGCAGCTGGGCCTCTCTGCAGCACAGCAGGCTCAGGACACCCAGGCTGGCTCAGGACACCGAGGCTGGGGACACACGGTCACACAGGCCCCTGGATGGTCTGGACCACACAATTAAAAGACAATCTAAGGACCAAAAGGTGTCTTTAAAAAAAAAAAAGATGTCCTACTGTGGAAAATGCACCGACAGAGACAATATACATTATGATACATACCACAAAGCTTTATATCTAGACTAATATATCTATATAAAACAGCCATTGGACATTCAGTAGGTCTCTCCAGACAGTTTAGACATTCTGTTAAATGAACTGACTTACAAAAGGAACAACAGTTGACGACACACAGTTTGAAATCAACCAAGGCCCAAAGCAAAAATGCCCTTGAAAATACTAGAGATACAAATATTTGCCAGCAAGAAATGTGTTGCTCTCAAAAAAAGACGTAAATACCCTCAGAAGTTAGGAGGTATAAACCTCTCTGTCTCTCTCAAAAAAGGTTTTATCACTTGAGCTAAAAGGATTTGTTAATTAAGAAATAATCATTTAAAAAAATACAAAATGTAAAGCTCCCAGCATCTTAAATGAGAGAATTCACTGTTTCATTGTCTTAACTTACAGAAAATGAATTATATTTGTGTTCTGTACAGTTGGTTGGGCAAATCAAGTTACTTAAATATGTCACTTTGAGTAACTGTGACGGGCATTTTTACAATTCTGTGACGTTACATAAACGAAAGAAATCAACAGACTGCCTGATAATGACTTCAAATTGTTAGTTGCAGCCATATTTGTTACTGTAGATTATTCCTAAATCAAATCCGAATCACAAATCAGTACTAAAAGAAGTAGTCAACGATACTATTATAGAAAAATAAATGAGCCACACCACAGAATATGTCCTATTTTCCTATGAAAGTAAAAGATACAGCAATGGAGATAAAGGTGCATCAGGTATTTCTGGAGGAGAAGAGTTCCCAGCCTTAAGCTGAAGAAGTTGGTGAGTGAATCCTGTATGTAGGACACAGATGTGGACCGAACAGCCCATCTCACCATGCAAACTGTCTGTGGCTTCAGGATGTCACAAGACAGTCAACACGGCAAGAAACCTGATGCACATAAGATTGGTAGTCAGGGTTTCTGTATGGCTTCAGCCAGGGATGACTTGTTCATGTTAAATTCTACTAAAAATAAAAGAAGTAGCACACTGAACACACCCCATGTAGACCTAAATAACCAAGAATGAATGCTCTATTATGAGCCATTAGATAACAGAGAAACTGCTCATGAAAAATTTTTTTCATCACGCCGGCCGAAAAGGAGAAGTAAGGCTATTTCTGAAAGAGCACTACACTTTCTCACACGGAGTTCATATACAGTAGCTGCACCGACTGTATCACCAGACACAACACACACAGTATGGAAAGGAAAGGGAGGGACGTTCGCTTTAACGAGGATACATTATGTAACATAAGCTGTCTACATTCAGTTTGATCTAAAAAAGAACAAAACATAACGTCTGTCTAAATGCTGAATAGGATTAAACTAATCATTAATCTATTGTTTTTTTATTTGTTGATTTAGTTTTTAAAATGCACAAGTGAGTGCCACAACTTAAAGTGACATCTAAAAATGCTTATTTATTATTTTAGTGCACACCACACTATGTACTTATTAACCAGACATGGTGTGTGTGTGCCAAACCATCTCCTCGGCCTGATCAGAGGTCTAATCCAGTATGAAACATTCCCACAATTCTTTTCTGGCTAAAGAGGAGGAGTCAGCACCTTGTCCTTTAACTTACAACTTGACCTTCGGACGGTTGTTACAAAACCGTACTGATGAACCTTTTAGACCATAAAACTATCCTGAACTTTAGTCTTTCTTAAGTCTTTTAACACCTAAACCTGAAACTTAAAGACTCCCAGAGGCGTTTATGACCACTAGTAGCACTGCAGAGGAATGTTTTTGATCACAGGTGCTCATATTTAACACAAATCAATATCTCCTCGCAGCCACTTGTCTTAGTTGCGCATCTACAACTTGTGAGCAGTTCAATCGCAGTTAGATTTTTCCTTTTCAGAGTGTTTCATGTGGGGTAAAACTATACAATATTTCACAAGAAAGGGGCAAAATAAAGAAAACATTAACGTTTTTTTGTATGAGAAAGAGTTTTTTCTTATTTCTCACCCAGGTAATTTATTAACTACTAGATTCAACGAGAAACTCCTTGTGTGCTTCCATGATACACAGCGACATGATAACTATTTCTACTGGCTATAGAGGGCAGTAATAGTTAGAGAATGGATAGAAAAAAACATAAAGAACAAGACTAGAAGGTGATGTAAACAATAAAGTTTTACAAAAAAAGGCCTGAAAATTGTTTTCTGAGGTTGGAAAAACATTCAAAATCTATGTTTGACCTTACTAATTTATTCATAACTGCTTCTTTTCTCGATTAATCGTTTAATCTATAAAATGTCAAACAATAATAGTGACTTTTGTCCACCACATTTTTCTAAAAAACCCATGGTGAGATCATCTAATTGCTTGTTAGGTCAGACAAAACCTAAAAATATCCAGCTCATCATCACAGAAAACAGAAGAAGCAGCAAATTCTCACAACTGAGAAGCTGGAAAAGTTTGGTGATTTTTGCTTGAAAAAAGAATAACTATTATTATCTTGATTACCAAAATAGTAGCTGGTAACTTCTTTTCCAGTTCTTTAAGATATAAAAGAGTGCATTTTAATGACAAAATAATGTAAACAAAACAACAAACACACAGGAATGCAGTGGCTTGTATGTCAATTAGTGCTTCTCTGGTACCAAGACGACACAACCAGCAAACCCATTTAACTGTATCTGAAGTCGAGTATCACACACTCATCTCCCCTGAGCAGACGCAGACACTTACTCACACAAAAACCTCCAAAAAACATCCAGCTTTTGCCCCATCACTGCAACAATGTGGGAGTATTTTTAGTCAGCCTTCCTTGCAGAAACCTAGCAAGGTTATAATTACTGAGTGCTTTCTGACTGCCATGTGACAGAAGTACTATTGGTAGAGCACTGGAGAGCCAAATATAGTCCTCGTACCAGCAAGAAAAAAAAAAAAAAAAAAGAACAAGGGTCCTGGATCCAGGAAAAACAGCGAAAAAGATAACATTGATTACCGAGCGGCCGACCAGATAATGCCTTATCAAAAGGTTTGGGTGCAGTTTTCAGTGACTATGGCTGTTCTGGTCGGGCGCTACAAATAGACGAGCTGGGTTTCAGGTCCGCGGAAATCTGTGGTCTGTGTTGGTTTCTTCAATTTCCTCCCAGAACTGTTCTCTGCTGGCATCAGAGTGTGTGATCACAGTTGTGTGATGTGGTCATTTTGTCAAATTTGAGGTTTAACAGGGCAGCAGTTGTTGTTTTTTTCTTCTGCTTTTATCAGTATGTGTGCTGTACATATATACGGCAAATTAGGATTTATTATTTGGTATGAATTTCTCACAAAGGGTTGTTGTGTTTGTGCTCTTTAATCCAGCTGTTCATTTACCTTTACACCCTCACACACTGACCCCCCACCTATAAAAAGCCCTTGTACTATTCCATGACTGTTTTTTTCTTAACTGGCATGTTGAAATGAAAAAAAAAAAAAAACTTCCACTACTATCTTGTCTATTACAGTCCCTCTCTTTCTGTCTGCAGGGCTGGGTTGTCTCTGTATTTAGCCAAAACACATTGTGCTCGTCCTGCGGGCCAGTCTGTGTTGCTATGTATAGGCTTTGTTGTGGACAGTATCACTTGACTTGGCCTGGTCTTTCTGTGTTGTTGGCCTCATCTTTCCATAAAACACAGACACAAGCAAGAATCCACACACACAGCCAGAACCTCACCCACACACACACCAATATGTTGAGGGACAGTAGGTGCAAGGGGGGGGGGGGGCCTCAGGCCTCAGCCCCCACGTGGTCCAGGTCACATGTTGCTGCCCATTGAGCAGAAAAAAGGGGGTAGAGGGAAGATGGTGGTGGTGGTAGTGGAGAGGAGGGGGTATTAAAAGGCTTCATACCGGGGCTCGGGGACATGGGTCACCCAGCTCCACGGGGGCTTCTCCCTGAACCAGAGCACTGATACAAGCTCTTGTACCATTAGGTCGCTTTCTGAGAGCCACAACAAACAAATAAACAAAACAGGCCTAAATACAAATAGACCTACAAACAGAATAAAGTAGCCAAACTAGCAAAGAAGTGAACCGAACGGCAACAATTTCCTTTAAAACGTTAAATTTTTAACCCAAAACAAAACTGTATGTGTGAAAACAACACATGTCCGAAAACAAAGAGCCGGTTGTGACTATGTACAAAAGTAGAAAGGCAGT